TCAACAGTGATTTAACTTCATCATATTTTAGAAATAATTTTATTGTCTGGCAAGTTGACAAAGAATATTATACTTCCAAGTGTATAATTGTCAAAAAGAGACATGTAACGAGATGTGCTTGTTTTTTTCCAGATTGAGGGAAATGAGAAGAAGAGCTGGACAGCAGGTGCAATGGCTCGCCTTATTTGTGAACCACAGATCGTTCTCTTCGTCGTCTGCTGTGTTGTGGTTGGAATATCGACTGGCATTCTGTGGACTTTCCTGGTGTGTATTTTACAAGGAGATTGATATCATTTGTATGTTATGAATAGACAAGGCATTTATTAGGTGATATAAATTTTTGTTTTCTTTCATTAGATTAGTGAAGGCAAACAAGTTAATTACTTCAAATGTGGATAAATATCATAGTAATTATTTTCATGAGATATTTGAAAAAAAAAAGAAATTGATTTCTTCTTTTTCTTTTTCTTCTTCTTTATACGTATATATATATTCTATTTACTTCCTTCAGCTGATGTTGGTTGAGGACATTGCCTTTGAGTGGGACTGTCACTTCCAAGCCATGAAACTGCTTCAGGGACTCATCATGGGCGTCCAGTGTTTTGGCGGAGAGCTGCCCTTCTTCTTCATATCCGGCTGGTTCATCAAGAAGCTGGGTCACGTCCATGCCATGTCCCTGGTGATTGGGATGTTTGGGATTCGCTACATCCTGTACTACACCATTGTTAATCCGTGGGTTTTCCTGCCTATTGAATTGCTCAATGGCTTCACCTTTGGGATTTTCTATGCAACCATGACTTCTTATGCGAGTCAGGTTGCTCCCAGTGGCACGGAAGCAACAATGCAGGGTATTGTGGGAGCTGCTTTTGAAGGCATTGGTAAGACTTGGATTATTGAAGAAAAATTGTTTGTTACTTTTTTTCCGTAGAATATTGTCCTGACCTTTGTATGGAATTACTTTTGTGTGTGTGTGTGTGTGTGTATGTGTGTGTGTGTGTGTGTGTGTGTGTGTTTGTGTGTGTGTGTGTGCGTGTTCAGAATATGCAGTTATTACATTTTTTACTCTGTCATCCTTATCTTGTCTGTGATACATACTTTACTAATTTGATGTTTCTTATTTGGTATTCTATTGTTACACTTCAGATGCATATAGATATATTTTTTACATTTGCAGGCATTGCAGTGGGTGGCTTTGTGGGAGGGTCACTTTTCTTCACTGTTGGTGGCTCAAGAACCTTCCTCTATACAGGAATATTCAACTTGCTCTTTGCTGTTCTCCACATTATCCTGCAGATCCTTCTGAAGAGGCTAAGACCACAGTCAGCATCAGCTGGTAAGAAAACTAAATATCCCCATTTCAAGAAGGGAATTCTGGAAGATATTATGTGGATATTTTGTAAGCCAGGTTTTATCAGAATTATTAGGGAATGAAATCCAAAGTCAGAGCCATTACTAACCGGTGCCCTTTCATCAACAGGAGGTAGTCCAACTCCAGTGGGTTATATGGTCCCCAGTGAGAGCATGAAACCTGTAGCTGCTACAGATGGAGAGGCTGAAGAAGATTAAGTTATGAGATCACTATATCAAAAATATCAAAGTCTCATGTTATGTTGGGAGTTAACCAGTGAGTGTGACTGAGGAAACTTTTTTTTCTGGAAGCAAACACAAATATATGTTTCCTGCAATTAACTCAGGAGGATAACAGCCTTGGAAGGACTAAAGTTAGCAGTAACATGGAGTTGAAGATCCTGTTTGTCCCGTCCGCTTTTCAAGGGCACAATGATCAAGGTCACTTTAGTGAGTACTTCCTTAAATGATAAATATGCATAAAATGCTAAATATATTTTTGTCAATGAGAAAAGGAGCCTTAAACATTAAGAAGTATGGCTGGAGATTTATTGTTTCCCTCTCTGGAATATAAGTAACATTGATTTAGGCTGTTGAGCTTGTGGTGCTTCTGCTAGATCTACTATTAGTATTAGCATGTACAAAATATATAGAACAAATGTTTTCCATGCTTCAGAAATTCCAGTGAGAGCCAAACTGAAGCACAGACATTTTACTGATGTTATTTATATTATCTTTATTATTTTGAGAGGATTTTTTTTTCATTTGATATCTGAATTTGATTACTACTGAAGCCAGGTATCAGGGCTGACTCCAGTGATTTTTAGGTATTTTTTTTAATGAACAAGCTACTTGCAAAAGCATAGAGCAGCTGCACTCTTTGCTTTAGAGAACTTAACCTCTTGAATGTGATGATAACCTCCAAAGGCAACAAGGCAGTGAGCCAGTTTTGTATTTCCTGCTCCTGATAGTGCACTTAGCAGTGGATTGTCTGGGGTGACCTCTCACCTTAAGCTGGTGTATCAGCTTCGAGGTCTTATTGGTCCAGGAAGTTTTCAAATGAAATTATGTGATTTTTTTCTCTTCCTAAGGAGATATTGGACCAGCAATACCCTCTAGGTCGACTGATCCTGTCTTTTTTTGGGGTATCTCATACTCAGAGGGTTAATACTGTGAAATTTACATGGACTGGTGCCATGTACATATATTGATATTCTTATTTATTAGTAATATAATGTGTGTGTACATGTAGTAATGCATTTTTTAAGAGAATAGGTAATGCTTTCTAGGCATTTTAGATATTGGAATATTAACTTCTGACTTTTTAGACATGTTAAAACAGCAAAGTTAGTGAAATCTTAGCCATGTGAATATCAGGTCTGAGCAAAAGGCTTATTAGCAAAATCTTTGGCCTTGATTTCCATGAATTCATGTTTCATGCATATGGTATAAAAAAAAGTTCATTACTAAGGATGTATGTATTGTATATAGGTCTGGAATAAAGAGAAACGTGTCAGACGATAAAGATCCATTGCTTTTTACACACATACATGAACATCCACACATCCATGCAGAGATACCTACAAAAATACACATGTATTTAGATACTTTATACGTATGCATATATGTACATAAGCGCTCCTCTGCTGTGAATGTTCAAAATACACAATTTTACTGAAACAGAAGAAAACTTATCAGAGAATCCATACTGTGAACACTTCACCTGTTGAAAATTTTTATTGTGCAGTAGATAGTATTAGGTACTTAACACTGACCTGTAAAGACAGCACATTTATTATCTCCATAATATCAAAGTGATATTTATGGTCATTTTTGGTTTTTACATATACTTTGCTACCATAACAGGTCTTAGGATTGTAAATGATGGAGCACCATTGTTAGTAGGAAGAAATCTCATATAAAGTACTGGAAATAGAGATGGACATATTTTAAATACTAGTAGTAATAGTAGTAGTAGTGGTAGTAGTATAAGTAGTAGTATTGATATTATTATTATTATTATTATTATTATTAATATTATTATTATTATTAATATTATTATTGTATTTATTATTATCACTGTCGTTATTGTTATTATTGCTGTTAATTTTATCACTATTATTATTATTATATTATTATTATTATTATTATATTATTATTATTATTAATATTATTATTATTATATTATTATTATTATATTATTATTATTATATTATTATTATTATATTATTATTATTATATTATTATTATTATATTATTATTATTATTATATTATTATTATTATATTATTATTATTATTATTATATTATTATTATTATATTATTATTATTATTATTAATATTATTATTATTATATTATTATTATTATTATATTATTATTATTATTATATTATTATTATTATTAATATTATTATTATTATTAATATTATTATTATTATATTATTATTATTATATTATTATTATTATATTATTATTATTATTATATTATTATTATTATATTATTATTATTATTATATTATTATTATTATATTATTATTATTATTATTATTATTATATTATTATTATTATATTATTATTATTATTATTATATTATTATTATTATATTATTATTATTATTATTAATATTATTATTATTATATTATTATTATTATTATTAATATTATTATTATTATATTATTATTATTATTATATTATTATTATTATATTATTATTATTATATTATTATTATTATTAATATTATTATTATTATTATTAATATTATTATTATTATTATTATATTATTATTATTATTAATATTATTATTATTATTATTATTAATATTATTATTATTATTATATTATTATTATTATTATTATTATATTATTATTATTATATTATTATTATTATTAATATTATTATTATTATATTATTATTATTATTATTAATATTATTATTATTATATTATTATTATTATTAATATTATTATTATTATATTATTATTATTATATTATTATTATTATATTATTATTATTATTAATATTATTATTATTATTAATATTATTATTATTATTAATATTATTATTATTATTAATATTATTATTATTATTATTAATATTATTATTATTATATTATTATTATTATTAATATTATTATTATTATTAATATTATTATTATTATTAATATTATTATTATTAATAATATCATTATTATTATATTATTATTATTATTATTAATATTATTATTATTATATTATTATTATTATTATTATTATTATTATTATTAATATTATTATTATTATTAATATTATTATTATTATTATATTATTATTATTATTATTATATTATTATTATTATATTATTATTATTATATTATTATTATTATTATTATTATTATTATTATTAATATTATTATTATTATTAATATTATTATTATTATATTATTATTATTATTATTATATTATTATTATTATTATATTATTATTATTATTATATTATTATTATTATTATTATTATATTATTATTATTATATTATTATTATTATTATTATTATATTATTATTATTATTAATATTATTATTATTATATTATTATTATTATATTATTATTATTATTAATATTATTATTATTATATTATTATTATTATTATTATATTATTATTATTATATTATTATTATTATATTATTATTATTATATTATTATTATTATATTATTATTATTATTAATATTATTATTATTATATTATTATTATTATATTATTATTATTATATTATTATTATTATATTATTATTATTATTATTAATATTATTATTATTATTATATTATTATTATTATTATTATATTATTATTATTATTATATTATTATTATTATTAATATTATTATTATTATTATTAATATTATTATTATTATTATATTATTATTATTATTATATTATTATTATTATTAATATTATTATTATTATTATTAATATTATTATTATTATTATTATTATATTATTATTATTATTAATATTATTATTATTATTAATATTATTATTATTATTATTATTATTATATTATTATTATTATATTATTATTATTATTATTATTATTATTAATATTATTATTATTATTAATATTATTATTATTATTAATATTATTATTATTATTATTAATATTATTATCATTGTTAATCTTTGTCTTCTAATGAATAGAGGCAGCTTGAGGAAGCCAGTTTTAAATTTCAGATTGTGTTCATAACTGGTGTTTTATTATTTATGAAGTTGTATATTTTAATGCCGTTTTATATAAATTATTTATGTCTGGAATCCTTCTATATGTATATCATGTTGGTTAGGCTGAGCTTGACAGCAAGTTAGTATTAGAAATTGCAGTTGAATATTGTTTAACAAGATTTTTTTCTGAATGTTTAATTTGACATGGTATCTTTAACCCCTTGGTGCCGGGTATGACGTGTACGTACGTGCTAAGCCCATCGTGAGTACTTGTTTGATTGTTTTTACGCATAGATGGCAACACTTGTACTAACTCCCCAATGAGCCAGTTACTAGCACCGCCCGTCTCACCCGTTTACCCGTTTCTTTGATTTACGAAGTATTTTACGTAATCTTATTTTGCTGTTACTAATGTTAAAAAAAATATATAAAAATTATAATGTTTATGATAAAAATAACACCATCGATTTTCATAGTGCTAGTGAAAAATACGTTTTTCCCGCCATTTAAATCAGGCGCTAGCAGAGCCATCTATCGGCAGACATTTCACGAAAAACATAGAAAGTGGGCACAATATTTTCCCCAATATTTGTTCATTTTCCCCGGCACCATTGGGTTAAATTTAACCCACTTCAAAAAAGAAGAAGTAAATTAGCTGGTATAGCTATAGCAATAGTGAAGTTGTTATATTGTCATGGATCCTCTCTTCTATATGACTATAACTGTTGCAAAGTTACATGCAAACGGAATTAAAACAATACAGAACTTTGATCTGACATCCTATTTGAATATAAAGTCTGGATTGTAAAAGAAAAAGGGAAAAAAGGTAATTATATCATATTCCATTGTAATTTGAAACTGGAGATTATTTGCATATCAAAGATTTGTAGATTCTCAGTATATATGGGTTATTTGCATATCAAGTGCTGTGTTTGGCACATTCCAGCATTTCATTGTATGATGTGAATTGAGTGTTCATGTTATCTTCAGAAAAACTCCATTTAGTGTCATTTTCCTTCACTTTCTGTTGGTTGTTTAAAAGTGAAATATCCCCAAGGTAGAGGGTGTTGAATTCTTTCAGGATTTTGTGCATGCTTATAGTTGTTCTTAGTATTAAGTATTTCTGTCTGTATTCAAACCCAAGTGTATTTTAAATCATTAAGGAGAAAATAATGTGAATTTTAGATACATAAGTGACCTTGACAATGAAGACAAATTATACAAGTTATTATGTGTATGGTACCTATGTTCTCTTCATACAATGAACATACAGGGCACAGACTCACATTTTCATATCATTACTAAGCAATGTTATTTAGTGCTGTGTTTGACTTTGGTTTGTTAAAAAAAAAAATAATCATACAATTTAGCTATGGCTATAGCATTAGTTTTCTAATATGTTTGAATAATAACAGTAGCTGAAAAAAATAGGAGAAATAGGTCGCTACTAACTCTTATGGTAATATTGCTAACCACACCAGTCAGTGATCTATTACTGCACATTGATGTTTTAGTTATTTAGACCTGCTGGCTAGCAGTAGTGGCTGACATTCGTTTTTAAGTTGTGATAAATGGTTGTATATCTTAGCATGCACAAGCCTTATGAAGATCAATGAAAATATTGTGTGCCTGTATGTCTTAACTATATTTTTTTTTTCTGAAATAAGCTTTCCATGAATGATAATCAAAGAGAAAGTTGAATACTGAAGTACCCTTCAATGTATTATGATATTTCTGTACAAGTTGAGATTGCTCACAGGAGTCTGCTATGATCCAGTGTCTTTTCCCTGAACTCAAGTGATATGAAGTGGCTTTTGCTATGTGCAAGTTCCTTCTGCATTTATTTATTCTTGCATAATGTGCACTGTATTCATCTCCGAATAGAGTGTATCATCTAGAGGCTTTTTTAGGCTGTTGTAATAGTGCTGTCAGAATTACTGCACATGCTGGGTACTTCAATGGTATTTTTTAAGGTTAAACTGTTCCAAGGTACTTTACAAAGGGCCACTAGATCTAACTGAAAAATACTATGTGGCCTTGCCATATCAGTTTAAGATAAATTGTGGCCCATATCAAGAACTAACTGATAGATAACATAACTTGCAAGAAAACTTTAAGAAACCATAAGTAAGGCAGTCTATAGTATTTGAAATCTTTGATATTCATATTGCTACATTATAACATGGGCTAAACATAAGCAATATCCATACCTGCCGAATTCAGTAAAGAAGCCAGCACATTCTTAACTGAATAAGTTTTTGCGGACAATAATTTCTTTGAATATTGTATAGTTTATTTTTATTCTTACTTCTGTTTGGTGTTTATTAAGATGTGAAAT